GTGTTAGGATTACACGTTTGCCTGGCTAGAGCTGATCCCAGCTCAAAGCGCCAGACACACACTAGAGAGGTAGGGGGTGTCGTTCCAGAAGCGCCTCCCTGTAGGCTGGTACATTATTCAGGGTCTGGACATCCTGTGGTCTACACAGAGCCATTTCCATTCTCTGAGGGCAAATGAAGTCTGGGGACCTGGGGCAGTCTAGGAGAATGCGATGCCCCGACATGTCCTTTCGAGGGGATGGCCTGGCCGGTGGCGTCTATGGTGCGAAGCCTTCCCAGCTTCGGGCCTGAGGGCATAACTGAGGCGGTTGTAGCTGGCATCGGAGACATTGGCCAAGCAAGAGGCTGAGAGCCCGGATGGAGCACTAAGAATGGAAGACGTGCTTCTGGAGAAAAGGGACCAAATCACTTCCGTATGATGGTCCTGGAAAGAAGACAGCAGATGCCAAGGGTTCTCAAGTCTGTGAGCATCGCGGGCATCAGACTGACCAGCCCTTGGGTCTTCCGAGAGCGTCCCCGAGGGCTCAAGTCCCTAAGGAGAGACTGAGAGCTAGACAAACGCGAAAGCCCGCAGGTCACCTGGGCGGGACCCGGGACGGAAGAGCTCGCGGCAGGAAACACGTCATTTCCGTTGTGCGGAGCGGGGGGGGGGTACACACGTTGTGTAGTCGTGCAAAAGAGGTGATGTGAAGTTCGGCTTCCGGTTTTGTGCGACGGAAGCAACGAAATCGCCGTGCGCCGCAGAGTGCGAGCCGAGGTCGCAATGAACGGTGTCCTGTGTTCGCGGGCTGCGGGGTGAGCGCTGTGAGGTTTTGGTGGGCTAGGGCGGGAGGCGGCCGAGGCGGCGGGACGCTTACTGCTGACTCTCTTCCAGAGCGGTCCGGGCTCTGCGACTCGTGGGCTGGGCTTCGCGAAGCCTGCATCCGCCTCCCCATGGCCGGTCTCCAGCCCGACCCACAGACAGGGAAGAGGAGGAGGAAGACCCCAACCTCCCCATCCAGTTTTCCTCCAGCAAAGCCACCCCAGACCGCTGGACGGTGGAGCATTCCCTGGGGAAGGAGCACCAACGGCCCTGGTGGAAAGTGCTACCGATCTCCTTCAGCCTCACAGTTCTGCTCATCTGGTGCTATCTGAGGCAGGAGACCAGCACGGACCAGTGGTTGAGAGAGGTTTTGGGAGAGGTAGACAAGGAAGACGAGGAGGAGCCAGACGATCGTCTGGAGGAAACTGAAGCTCCGACTTTCTACGGAGCTAGAACGTAACGGTTCCTGCTGAGGAAGGAAACAGGCAGCCGTCCTTGTTCCTTTGTCAAGTTTGGCGATTTCTGACCTGGTACTGCGTGCGTCTTCGATGCTTTTAAGGGACTTGGATGGCGCTGAAACGCGAGAACACAGCACGGAATTGGGGGCTCGAAATCTGACCCTTGCCAGACACGAATGCCCAGTGCTTACGTCCAAAGGACTTTTGAGGTTCATAGAAAAGGTTTTGGCTGCACCGTGCGCTGTTGAATTTGTGATGTGTTTGTACAGCCTAATCATGTTTCCAGAGCAGTTCCGGTGGGGGTGTTATCTGCAGGTCATTGCTTTCTGAGACAGAGTAACTTCAGAAGTTTTACACTTTGTATTGTGCCACGGTGTGTACAACATCCGTTGAAGCTACTTTAAATACAAACAAATGGAAAATACATTTGGTAAAGCTTAATGAACACAATTCTCTCCTCCCCTTGCATCAAGTGGTTTTTTGTTGTGGTGGTCACTGATTTTTGATTGTTTTGAGACAGAGTCTCCCTGTATAGTTCTGGCTGGTCTGGAACTAGCTGTTATAGACTAGCCTCACCTCAGCCAGGGATCTGCCTGTCTCTGCCTTCAGCTCTCTAGTGATGGGATTAAAGATGTGTACCAGGACTTATGACATCTTGTTTTTAAAAAGAGTAATTTTTTTTTTAAATCTATGTATTATGTATATAGTGTTCTGGGCACCAGATCTCATAGATGGGTGTGAGCCATCATGTGGTTGCTGGGAACTGAACTCAGGACCTCTGGCATAGCATTTCGTGCTCTTAACCACTGAGCCATCTCTCCAGCCCAAAAGAGTAATTTTTTAGGCCAAGCAGTTAACCTTTTCTGCCCCCCCCCCTTCCATTTGAGAACTTAAAACCAAGCAAAACAAAAACCAGTGCTTGCCAGAAGTGGTAGTGGATGCCTGTAATCCCATCACTTAGAAGACTGAGGCAGGAGGATCCTAAGTTTGAGGTCTGCCTGGGCTACATAGGGAGACCCTGTCTCAAGAAACAAAATGATTTTTCAATGACACAATGAATTTTTGTTTTTGCCTTTTTATTTTTTGAAGAAAAGAAAAATGTCAGGGGCTGGAGAGATGGCCTTGCTACACTTTCAGAGACCTTGAGTTCAAGTTCCAGCACCCACCCACGTGGTGGTGGCTCACCTCCATCTGTAGTGGGAGGCGATGCCCTCTTCTGGTGTAAAGGTGAACACGCAGATAACACACTCATAGATGTATTAGATAAATAACTTTTTAAAATTATTTATTTATTATGTATACAATGTTCTGTCTGTGTGTATGTCTGCTGGCCAGAAGAGGGCACCAAACCTCATTACAGATGGTTGTGAGCCACCAAGTGGTTGCCGGCAATTGAACTCAGGACCCTTGAAAGAGCAGGCAGTGCTCTTAACCACTGAGCCATCTCTCCCGCCCGATAAATAATTTTTTTTAAAAGGTCACATTCCATGCAGCAGGCCCACAGTGCAGCTAGGCTGGTCACTTCTCCCTGGTGATGTGCGTAGTTGAACTCACAAGCAGAGGAGAGCTTTGGCTGTTTGGCACAGTGGGTACACTTAAGCATCTGTTTTGTTTTGTGCTGTTTGTTGTTGTTTTTGTGTTTTGAAACAGGGTTTCTAGGGAACCCCGTCTGTCCTGGAACTTGTTCTGTAGACCAGGTTGGCTTTTGTGTTCCCTAAGGTGCTCAGCCTGGTGACTTTCTGGGTAAACATCGGCTAGGGAGAGGCCCTGCAAATATGAGCCAGCACAGGTGATTGCTGCATGCATATGAGGTAGACAAACCGTTAGGCAGAAAGAAACAATTACATATAACATGTTCTTTCAAAGGGAAAGTAGTTAATCTAACAGCCACTTAAAAATTAGGTTTATTTTATGTGTATGATATATGTATGAGTACCACATGCTTGCCTGGTGCCCATGCAGGTCAGAAGAGGGTGTCAGTCCCTGGAACCGGAGTTATGGCTGTGAGTCGATATATGGGTCCTGGGAACTGGCCTTGGGTCCTCTGGAAGAGGAGTCAGTAACCACTGAGTCATTTCTCCAGCCCCAACAGCCACTTTTTTGTAAGTTCTTAAAAATGGACGGTCTCAGTAGTGTTGGGCAGTCTCTCAAAAAGTGAGCTATTACACACAGAGAAAAACTTGTTTTTTTTTTTTTTCCCCCATTAGTTCTAGCACTGCATAACAGCTTCAATAAAAAGGAAATTTCTAGCCAGGCACTGGTGGCACACACTTTTAATCCCAGCACTCGGGAGGCAGAGGCAGGCGGATCTCTGTGAGTTCGATGCCAGCCTGGTTTACAAGAGCTAGTTCCAGGACAGGCTCTAAAGTTACAGAGAAACCCTGTCTCAACCCCTGCCCCCATGAATAAAAAAAATAAAAAGGAAACTTTTAGATCTTACGTGGGCACCACAGGTGATCTAGTTTTCAATTCCCACTCCGCAGCAATCTTTGAGATGTGTTTATTCCTCTGTAGGTGCCCCCGTCTGTCCTTCCCTCTTTGTTGTTTGATCTATTTTGAAATGACAATGTTCCTGGTTCTGTTTTTGTTTTGAGACAGTCTCAGGTATAGCCAGGGCTGGCCTAGACTCACTATCTCCACCTCTTGAGTGAGGATTACATGCTTGTGCAACCACATCACCTTCCTTTTTTTAAAAAAAAGTTAATTTCAGGGTTTGTGGGCTAGGGCTAATGCTCAGGGTGGAGTACCTGGCTAGCAATCACAAGGCCCTGCGTTCTACCTCTAGCACCACAACCAAAACAAGCTACCAAAAGCTTCAAACAAATTGTCTACAGAATGCCACGGAAGAAGTCAGTCACCCTACCAGCAAATGATAATTTTACCTTTTCCGTATTTTTAAATGTAGCTTACATATTTGGGCCATATTATCTTTGTTCATGTTTCATATCGGTGTTCCTGGAAATGGGACAGATTATTTTCTGTAAGCAGGAGGATCAATTGCTTTTCAGCTTTTCCTTTCAGAGTACTTGCATTTACGATGTCTCCTGCCACACAGTTACATGCTAATGAATGCTAGCCCTGAGTTCTACCGAATTCATCCTAGCACCTGCGGAGCCCCGCCCACAACGTGCAACCAGCACCTTGAATCCTAGCTCAGTCAATCCTGACCACCCACCCTGTACATCCTTTATCCTAGGCGCTCATCTGCCAACCTTTTAAAACACAATGATTTTTTAAAAAAGCATCTCGGAGAATTCACACTCTACCCATCCTTAAACTCACAATTTGATAAAAGGGGCGGCCATCGCCACGGTCTAATTATACACTTTTTCTAGCTAAAAGAAGCTTGTGCCCACCTGCAGCCCCCGCGTCCCAACACCGGCCCACGGCGCTGGACCTAAAGGCCAGCGAAGGGACTCTACAACAACGGGCGTGTCCTGCTTTGCGCCCATAACTTGCTGCCGTAGGGGGCCCGTAGGTTCTGCGTGTCGCCCCCGCCGCACAGCGCGCGTGGGCGAGGGGTCGACGGGGGCGTGGCCGGCGCGGCGTGCCTGGGGGTGTGGCCGGCGCGGCGGGGGGCGCAGGGGGCTCGGTGCGGGGGGAGATCCGGGGGCGCCGACGCGGCGCATGCGCGCTGCATTGTTTTGACTGAAAATGCCGTCGGTTTCGAAAGCGGCGGCGGCGTCGCTGAGCGGGTCCCCCCCGCAGACCGAGAAACCAACCCACTACAGGTCAGTGCCTGGGCTGCGGCCCGTGGCCTCCGGGACGCTGCGGCGCAGGGGAGCGGCTCGCGCGCGCCCCGGGCCCGGGTGTCGCCGCTGAGGGTGCGCCCCGCCCGCGCCCCCGCCACCAGCCCTTGCGGGTCACGCCGTCCGTGCGCGGGCCGCCGCCTGAGGTGGAGAGGTGGCGCCCGGGGTCTTCGGTGACCATTGGCCTGGGGGCTGGGCTTGCTTCTGGTCTCCCGCGACCCTGTGAGCCAGGCTGGAGTCTGGGAACAGCGCTTGCGTTCCGGGCTCAGGGCCGCGCCTGGGCTGGAGATGGACGCACGACCACCCGGACGCGGGCTGTCGTCGCCCGAGCTTGAGAGGCGGCGCCCAGGGTCTGGGGTGGCTTCTGGGTTGGAGGCGGAGTCGCACCTAGGGTCGGATGGACGCTTGGGCTGTGAGCCTGGGGGTCGTTTCTGCGGCGTAGAAGAGGGGTTGCGCTTGGTGTGGGCGGGTGGAGCTTGCAGTCCATCTGGAACCCGAGAAGGGAGTTGCGCGGGAGTCGGTTGGTGGGGTCTGGGGATTGAGAGGTGGCGCCTGGGGTCAGGGACTGTATCGAAGGGGGCGGAGAATGGAGTCTAGTTGTGAAGTTATCTGGGATCGGACTTGGGGTGACACGCTCCGAGGAGGTGTGCGTCTTGAGTTGGGAGATCTTATCTGGGGACTGGGAAGTGGTATTTGGGGTCAAGGGATTGAGAATCTGTTTGGAGTTACCTGGTCTCTGAGTTGGGGAGTGGCGCCTGGGGTCCAGGGACTGTGCCCGTGGAAAGGGGAGGGTACCAGGCCGTGGAAGTCAGATGGACTCGGGCGGTAGGTGGGCGGGGGAGGGGTGGCTTCGTGTCTGGGACCCTGCCCCGCCGCGTCCCAGGGGCCTCCAGCCGGCGGCGGCTGCGGCCCGCAACGCTGTTTGTCTTTTTAGGTATCTAAAGGAGTTTAGGACAGAGCAGTGCTCCCTGTTTTTGCAGCATAAGTGCAGCCAGCACAGGCCGTTCACCTGTTTCCATTGGCATTTCCTAAATCAGCGTCGGCGCAGACCGCTCCGACGGCGGGATGGCACCTTCAACTACAGCCCGGACGTTTACTGCTCCAAGTACGATGAGGCCACCGGCCTGTGTCCTGACGGCGACGAGTAAGTGGGGCTCCGGTGGGTGGCTGCTGGCCTTTCCCCAGGACAGGTCAACAGGTTCTTGAGGTTCCTGTTTTGTGTTGAGACAAGATCTGTATGTAGCCCTGGCTGTCCTGGAACACTCTGTAGACCAAGCTGGCTTCCAACTCAGAGATCCACCTGCCTCCACTCCCCAGGTACTGGGGTTAAAGATGTGCGCCACTATGCTGACTTTTTAGTTCTTTTTAATATCTGCTACCTGTAGAGGGGAACCTCATTTTTACGCAGGTTTTCCAGGGCTTTGCTGTGTGTGTGTGTGTTTCTCCCCGTTTTTAAACTAGTTCACTGAACTACTATGTGTGTTGTAGGGGGAAATCTTTGGTAATTCAGGCTGATTTTGATTCACTTTCTTATCCCTTATTTTGATTTCATCCTTATCCCTCCCAATGCTCTATTTAAAAATTGGCCAGAGTTTTGCAGCTACCTGATTTAAAAGGGTTTTGTGTGGCTGGTTGCTTTTCAGTCAAGTACTTGCTTACACATAAGCATGGAATGTTTCCTTGCTGCTCACTGTGCATTTTTGTTTTGTTTTACATCCTGACCACAAAAAAAAAAAAATACAGAATGTTTCATGAATTTGCGTGTCATCCTTGCACAGGGGCCATGCTAGTTTTCTCTGTCATTCCAATTTTAGTTTATGTGCTGCCGAAGCGAGCACTTACCTGTGTATTTTAAAGGAGGGGAGCAGAATTGTTACTCTGAGAAGGATTCGTGGGATGATTTTACCTTTTATTATTAATAATGTACTGGGCATGAAATAACACCCATGGCCCTGCATATGCTAGGCAAGGCCTTTACCACTGAGCTACCGTCTCAGCTCATTCTTTTTATAAAAAAGGAAAATTATTTTTTTTGCACGTTGACATTTATGTAATACTTTCAAATTTTAATAAGTCAAGGTTTTTCTTGGGTTGGTTTATATTTTATAGGTTTCTAATGGTATTATGAATAGATGTCTTTACTTGTGTGTCTGTGCATGTGTGCTTATGTGTGCAGGTGCAGAGTGTGTGTGGGTGCTCACACTTGGGCATTCACAGAGTGGAGTTCGCAGGTCAGTCTCATATGTGTTCATTACTTTGTTTTGAAAAAGAGTCTTTCAGCAGGGCAGTGGTGGCGCACGCCTTTAATCCCAGCACTCGGGAGGCAGAAGCAGTTCGAGGCCAGCTTGGTCTACAAGAGCTAGTTCCAGTACAGGCTTGATAGCTACAGCGAAACCCTGTCTCCAAAAACAAAAACAAAACAAACAAACAAACAAACAAACAAAAAGGCTTTCATTGTGCTGGAGCTGGTTAAGTGGGTTAAGCTCTCTGGTCTGCTAGCAAGCAGGCGCTAGGGACTGCTGTCTTTGCCTCCCTGTCTCGGATTGTGAGTGTGTGCCACTGTGCCCGCCTTTTTTCCCTTTTTTCTCTTTTCTTTTTCTTTCCTTTTTCTTTCTCTCTCTCTTTTTTAGGGTTCTAGGGATCAAACTCAGTTCTTTGTATCTGCAAGGCAAACATCTTACTGACTGAGCCATCTCTCCAGCCCCAATGTCTTCGTTGTGTTCAGAGAGAACATAGTATCAGGAGGTGTCACCTCTGTCCTTTGGGCAGTTTGGGGATGTGGGGGCGGGGTAGCTGCTTCCTGCCTGTGAGGTCAGTCTCTGTCTCGAAGACCTAATCTCTTGACACATCAGAGGATCTGGCACCCGTGAAGTCATCGTAATAGTCATACAGAATTGTGGTGCTGGAGGTTCTTTTTTGTTCTTTGTTGGATATGGGGAAATGTGGCTGTTTTCATATATTTGTTACTAGGGAGAGAAAGAACCCAAGGACAAACCCTCTCCCACTGATTGATCCATATCCCTAGCTTCCTTCCAAGTCTCAAATGGCCTGAAACTCACTGTGTAGACCAGGCTGGCCTCTAACTTCCAGTAATTGCTTGAGTCTGCCTCCTGAGTGCTGGGATCAAAAGCATGCATGCTCACCATACTGGGCTTTTTGCTTATTTATTCCTTTAATAGGATTCTTTTTATGTAATATAGGCTGATATTTCAACTTTGATTCTTCTGCCTTATTCTCCCAAGGCTGGATTACAGGTTCTGTCATACTTGGCATTGTGCTTTTCCTTTCTTTTTTCTTTTCCTTTTTTGTCTTGTTTTCAAGACAGGGTTTCTGTGTGTAACAGTCCTAGCTGTCCTGGAACTAGCTTTTGTAGACCAGGCTGGCCTCAAAAACTCACAGAGATCAACCAGCCTCTGTTTCTTGAGTGCTAGGATTAAAGGCATGCATCACTCACCACTGCCCAGCTTTTCTTTTTTTTCTTTTTTGTGGTGCATTGGTGTTTTGCCTGCATGCGTGTCTGTGTGACGGTTTCAGATCTCCTGGAATTGGAGTTACAGAGTTGTGAACTGCCTTTTGGGTGCCCTGGGAGTGTAGCCAGTGCTTTTAACTATGGAACCATCTCTTCCTCTCCAGTCCCATCCTTTGTTTTTCTTTCTTTTCTTTTCTTTTTCTTTTTTTATTTTTGGTTTTGGTTTTTGTTGTTTTCTTTTTCTTTGAGACATGGTTTCTCTCTGTTGCTCTGGCTCTCCTGGAACTTGTTCTGTAGACCAGGCTGACCTTGAACTCGTGGAGATCCATCCACCTGGCTCTGCCACCTAAAGGCCTGCACTACCACCTTTGTCCTTTGGGCAGTTTGGGGCTAGCTGCTTCCTGCTCAGAGGTAGGGGTAGGGTGTGTGTGTGTGTGTGTTTTGTACACATGAAAATTCAGATGCCCACAAAGGCCGGAGGATCTTCTGGAGCTGGCGTTACAGATGGTTGTGAATTACTCACTGTGAGTTCTGGAAGCTCAACTTAGCTGCTCTGCAAGAGCAGTATATGCTTTTTTTTTCATCAGTTTTTTCCTTAAATGTATTTATTTTCATTTTATGTATATTGATGTTTTTCCATGAGCGTCCTGTCCCCTGGAACTGGAGTTAGAGACACTTGTGAGCTGCCTTGTGGGTGCTGGGAATTGAACTTAGGAGGAGCATTACATGATCTTAATTGCTGAGCCATCTCTCCAGCCCCTCATAGAAAGATTTTTAGTGGATATATTGTTGTTGTTAAAGTAGCTTGAGGGGTGAACTAGATAAATAGTACAGCCTACTAGAGCTTCAGTTACTGTAATGTTCTAGAGCCAGCAACATGGCTCACTGGGTAAAGGCACTAGCTGCCAAGCCTGATGGTTTCAGTTTTATCCCTGGGACTCACATAATGGAAGAAGAAAACGCATACGAATTATACTCTGGCTTCCATACATTTGCTGTTGTATATGTGCATGCTGGCGCACACACTCTAAATACGTATAGTAATTTGTTGTTGTTTTCAGACAGAATTTCTCTGTGTAGCCCTGCCTCTCCTGGAACTCGCTCTTAGACCAGGCTGTCCTCAAACTCAAGAGATCTGTCTGTCTCTACCTCCTAAGTGCTAGGATTAAAGGTGTGCACCACCACCACCCAGCAGTAATTTTTTTTCCTAGACATAATTTGTGTAGCCTTGGTTGGCCTGGTTTTGAACTCACAGAAATCTACCTGCTTAAAGACACCTGTGGTATTTAAATTAATTTCTTTTGAACTGGCTCCTTCGAACATGTCCTCAGAAGACAGGTGACTCTCTGGCTAAGATGTAGCCTCAGTTCCCAATTTTCCATGATCTCTTGGTCACCTTGGGGCTGCTGCTACCTGAGTTTAGAGCTGGAATTCATGAGACAAATGGTACCCTAGAGTAGGGCCTGGGGATATCTTGTAGAATTCACCAGTGATAATTTTAATTTGTAAAGGGAAAGCATGCCTTAGGCTGGAGGGTTGGCTTCGTGGTTAGGAGCACTTGTTGCTCTTACAGATGACTTGGGCTCAGTTCCCAGCACCCACATGGCAACCAACAACACACCTATGACTCCAGGCCCAGGGAATCAACATTTTCTGAAGTCTGCAGGTGCCAGGTACATACATGGTATACAGATATACACACAGGCAAAATGCTCATATACATACAATAAAATAAATCTAAAAAGCAGAGAAATAGAGGTTGGAGAGATGGCTCAGAGATTAAGAGCACTGGCTGCTTTTCCAGAGGACCTGAGTTAAATTCTCAGCAACCACATGGTAGCTCACAACCATCTATAATGAGATCTGGTGCCCTCTCCTGGCATGCATACAGAATAAATAAATAAACCTTTAAAAAAAAGAGAGAGAGAGAGAAATAAAGCCTGTCTCGGGCAATTTGGTGGTCTTGGTTATTGGAGCATGTCACTGCTGGGCACCCAGGGTGTGTCGCTCTGTAGATCCGCCTGCCTCTGCCTCGCGCAAGTTCTGGTATTAAAGGCATGTGCCACCACTTCCTGGCTGGTGTGTCCATTCTTAATGGAATGAAGTGTGCTGCAGTGAACACCAGCCTCTAGGTGTTCTTTAGTTGTGAGGGGTAATTAATCATATGCAGTCGTTACTGACACGCCAGCTAACGTTTAGGCTTAGTAGCTTGTAGTTTATCATTAGGAAACCTAAGAGGGACTTGTCCAGATGCTTGCCATTCAGTTGGGGATGTATTCTGTGGGCATGTGTGTCTAAAAAGGGTCAGATAGGTCTTAGGAAAGATTTTTGTGTGTAATTTATCTCAAGCACATGGGATGAGTTGCTCTTCAGGAAGCGTCTGACAGGCTGCCTCTGCTGGGAGTCTCTGCTTAGCAATTACTGAGAAGGACTTCCCCACCGCTGCACGTGTGCAATGGCTGTCATTTATCTTATTAGTAATTGCATATTCTGGTTCATGCAGGGTTGCCATAGGAATTGTAAATTAGATAGTACCTTCCAGAGTATTGATGGTGGGGCTTTCCCTCTATCTCAGGGTCTTGAAATCCTTTATTTTTGGCATAGTACTATCAAACAGTAAGTATTTATTATAGTGCTGGAAATAGTACCCAGGTCCTCAAGAAAGCTAGGCTTTA